TCAGCGATTCGCATGAAAAACGATCATTACTCTCGGTGTCGAGCCACCACACCAGGACTTGATCGTAAAATGTTCACCGCCGCCGGCACAACAGATTGCTTCTGCACAAGTTCTAGTTACGTGCGGTCAGTAATGGTCGATTGTTGTGAGCACTTATTTCCGGTCGGTAGCCATACTTTGCCATAATGTTTTTCCTGTTACCTTTACTTCGATTGTTTGTTGCATGAAAGGCAACCAAGAACTACTTTCCAAAATACTGTTCAGTCAGTTAATCATTTCAAGTGTGTTAATTATTCTAATTTCCGGTTGTTTTCCTTTTACTATTGTAAATGAATGCTTTTTTACGACTTATTTAAGAATGGGTAATCTACTTAGTTTAGGGATACTTATTCAGAAATGTATGCAATTTTCACAAGTTATTAAGGCGTTAATAAGCAACTAGAAGGACCTCATTATTGGCATTGTGGAAAATAACACTTTATACTCTGCGCAAATTTACATATGAGAAAACTATAAAACACTAACTGGCAGTAAAGTGGAGTTGCGCGCGGAGCAACTGCATCGTCTAGGCTTTACGGAATTATCCCCTGCAGACCTGGTGGCTTTATTCGCACCAGAAATTGAATTTCAACGTCAACACGATTTACTACTGCGTCAGCTACGGATCAAATTTTATATTACGTATAGGTAAAGAAAGAAGTAAAACAGCTTTCTTTCAATCAAAACAAAATGAAAAAATAAATAAATAAAATTACTTTACCCATTTAACTCTTTTTAACACTGTATCTCTTATAAGGTATTTTATCGGCCGTTTTATAAAGTGGAATGTAATGTAAGCATTAATTAAAATTTTATAGCTTTTACACGCCCATTTACCTTAGGTATCTTTAACCACGTAAAAAAAGGTCATCAGAACTACCTAGAAAATGTTATAAACAGATACATTGGAAATTATTTTTAATTCATGTTTTTCGTTACTCAAAAGAACAAGGTGAACACCTAAAACCCATTAATTGAGTTTTATAAAGATCAATTTCAATTTTAATTGTTAGCTTATAGTTGAAAAGTAATCATAAATTAATAGTAAGCATCGATTGTTCTTATAATACAATTAAGACTTCACCGTTTTAATATCAATTTGCAGTGCGCATCAATTGAATTGTATAGTTGTTTATGATCGTTCTTACCACCAAACCAATTATTAATTAAAGTTTCTCTATCTATATATGAAAGTTGATTGTTTAAGTATTTATCGTCTGTATCAAAATAGCATAACAATAATACACTTTAATTGCGATACATTCAAATTTTATGATGTAAGTTTTTAATGTGAAAATTTTAAGTAAGTAGTAAATTAACGGTCTAAGTTAACGTTAATGTTTGAATATCTTGAAAAAAAAAGATACTTTAAAACCTCTCAATCGTAAATCAATTGTGGCAATTATAACCTGATGCAAGAAAGTGCGTATCATAGATAGTGCTTTGGCATGCCATAAATATGTTCGAGATAATAAATTTATAACTATAAAATTAATCTTCCGCCCATATTGACGCTTTTATTCTTGTATGATGGTGTTTGTCATTGTTATATATCACATTGACGCGAACGTTCTTCACTTTATACGTTGATCTAAAGCCCTCCATAAAATTTGTAATTTACTATTGAGTAGTTTGTAATTTATCGATTTTCAAGATTAACGATCTAAAATTTTATTATTATACACATGAGTGTTTATATAAGTGTACGGAAATAGACGAAGGAAAAATGAGATAGATGTTAAGGAATTCAATGAGTTTAAAGACAGGAAACTTCAATATTCATTTAGAAATTTGAGTTGGAATTAAGCAAATCTAAGTAAATGACAAATGCTAAGCAATGACAAAACTATTTAATAAATACATAAAAACACAACAAATAGAAAGAAAACAAAAGAAAATTTATTTAAAACGAGTTATATCTCTGTAAATACGCAGTATGTTTAGTCTACTAGTTATTTGTAAATGCTTAAAAATCATTCAAACTGTGTAAAATTAGCAATAACGGTGAATATATACTATAATAATCACTACAATGTTAAATTATTACAAATTATTACACCTGGCTACATGATGATAATAATAATAATAATAATAATAATACTTTATTGGTGATAGCATCAAAGTGATTTTCACAGGTCATAAAAGAAAAGAATACAATAAACGCAAAAATGCAATTTTCAATAATAGTAAGTACACTAAACGTAGTAATCAGTAACAACAGATAAGCAAAAGAACAAACAAAAAAGAGAGAAAAAGGCTTCTGGGAGGCGATACACTGGTCATAGCAAGTCATCAAAATCATTGGTCAAAAACTCCTCAACAGTATAAAAGGCCTTCGCCACTAAATAATTTTTTATTTTGTGTTTGAAATTGTTACTCTCTAACAATTTTATGTGTTTCGGAAGGACATTGTAGAATTTTATGCCAAAATAATTGACGCCATCCCTGGCCCTTGCCGTCCGAGAATAGTCCGTAATTAAGGTATCACCTGCCCTTGTGTGGTAATTATGATAACTATTAAGAGTTTTAAATTTGGAGATATTACCCTTGATATATAAGAGACAATGGAGAATATAAAGCGAAGGGAAAGTTAGTATCTTATAATCAATGAAATTGGCTCTACAACAGTCCCGAAAACCTAGACCGGCCATAACTCTAACACATCTTCGCTGCACACCAAAAACACGATCCGCATGGGCGGAGTGACCCCAACAAATTAACGCGTACGATACGTGGCTGAAGAAATAGCCGTAGTATGTGTTCATCACAACATTGAACGGGACAAGGTCTCTCAGTCTCCGAATGACGAATACAATGGTATTCAGTTTTTTCGTCAATTGGTCAATGTGGGCCTTCCACGTCAAACCAGAGTCAAGATAGACCCCCAGGAACTTGACCGGCTCCGAACACGACCTGAGACGTTTAAGTGAAAAGTTTAAAGTTTGTGTTTTTTCTCTATTCATGCTTAGTCTGTTGGCCTGAATCCAATTTGAGATGCAGGCTTGTGACTCAGATATGCGGTGATGCAAAACATCGGCATCTGTTGAGGAGACCATTACGGTTGTATCATCAGCAAAAAGGATGAGGTCGGAATCATGGGGAATGTTACTGGGTAGGTCGTTGATAAATATCAAAAACAGGAGTGGCCCCAATACTGATCCCTGAGGTACACCAAACCTAAGTGGAAGACGATCGGACTCTAGACCTAGATGACTTCACAAAAAAAGTATTAGACATTAAAAGGACATTCAGATATTATTAATTGATGGTGGGTAACTAGTATATTAATAAAACACGGACTGGTGTGAAAGCTATAATAATATGTGGGTAGTGCAGCAGTTAACCTGGTGATACCGAAGTTGATCCTGCTAGCGGTGGCAAAGGAGAGGTTAATACTGTTTTAATACTTTAGTTACTTAACACTGTGAACAATAGTATTAGCTTTGCTGAAACGATGCTGAAATGTCTTGAAAATTTTTGATGTATATGGGAAGAATTTTGAAAGTGCTAAATATAAAATTCCATTCGTTGCCCGTTCATTTCTCTACTGCGAGAAAGATAATGGTGAGGGCTGAGTATAATATTCTCGCCCATTAAAGGTTATATTCGCGATGTACTTTATTTCAATTAATGCAAATGTGCGTATGACACATATACAAAGTAAAAAAGTATGTCAGAATCTCACATACCTTCTCTAAGGCTAATCGATTGAATATGGCTAACATGAGACGACATATATAATATCTTTTACAATATCTAACTTCTTAATTGCTTTTCTATTCTGTGCTATCGTTCTTGTTTCGTTGTTTTCGAGGTGAGAGAATAATTAATGGAGGATGTATCTCATCGCTCCAACTTAATTACTTTCAAAGTCCTACTTAATTAAGCTATTCTGAGTTCGCATTCGATGTTATAAACCTTTTTTCTTTTCTTTGAGAAATATTTCTTGATCATTTGATTCATAAAGTTTGATCCATTACAATTAAAATAATATTTTAAATATTTGTAATTTAAGGTGTTGAAGATCAAAGAATAGATTTATTTTTATTATACTTTTATTGTATCAATTTAAGAATATAATAGGTTCATTATTAAACAAAACAAAAAGAGTTTTTATACAACTTTTAAATTATATGTGCAATTAAGTATTACACTTACTTTATTTTTGAACTCTGTGTCGACTCTAAATGTCTTCAGGCGAATAAGTATTAGTTTTGTCTCTGAAGGATTAACGCCAAGACTGTGTCGCTCAGATATAGTATACAAGCTATTTATGGTTGCATTCACACGCTTCGTTAATAGCTAACGGAAAAGGAATAACATAATTGCTGCATTTGCGTTAAAGTGGAGGCCCTAAAATAGCGCATTGTGGAATTCTAAACTTTAATAATATAAACTATATCTTCTTTTCTTTACTTATCAGATAATTAGCTAACTTAAAGCTTAGGAAACTAAGTATATATTACAATACCATGTAGATTGTGTTATATCACAAAATTTGTACTTTTCTGAATGTATTGTTTTTATTGATCGATATTGTCTGAACAGGTCTCGGAATTGCTTTAATTAGTGTATAGGGCGGATGCAAAAATAATAAATTTTAACTGACCGAAAGGGAATAACTATGAACGGGACAGCGTACGTACCGCAACATTAACCGTGATCGTAAACCGAGCTTTATATCTATTTTATGGCATTTGTAAAATATTGCGTTTCGAGCGTAATACATGCACTTAGCCCCACAGCCCGACGACTCGCGCCTCATTCGTCTCTAACGAATAACAAACGTGAAGACGGGTTTTAGTTATATAAAGGTTTATATTTCGATATAATGGGATTTGTATGTAAGATGTCTAATTTTAAAAACAAGAACCGAACCTGGTTATTTACTACTTTACGTTCTCTATTATTAATAAAATGGAGTTGAGTTTTTAAGTAATTTTATTTAATTTTAAACTTACCATCACGCTCTACTTCTAGGTCTTGGGGGTGGTACCGGTGAATGTAAAGGTGGACTCGGTGGAATATTTCCAAGAAGGGTATTAGGTAGTTGATAGTACATCGCCGGGTAAAGTGCTGTAGGTGAATACCATCTCCATGGGTCAGTGATGAGGTTAACCGGTGTTGGATAGTATTTTGCTAAAGCCTGTACCTCCAGGAATGCTGAAAAAAAAGTTGAAGAAAGAGTTTAAGAATAAAAAGAAAAAGTTGTAAAATTGCTAGAGGGCTTCTTATAGTAAGATTTATTTTAGAGTTTAAAGATATGAACTTGACCCGTCAAATATAAAACGATTCGAATCAATTTCAATTTTTCCAAAGTCTTTTTCGATATCCTTTCGGTCGGTCATAAAACTTCGTCTAGAACCTTTCGACAATGCCGTAAGTGGCGTAAATCTGCGCGGAGACGACGTATTCCTGAAAGTATCTAGAGTCCGCACGGGGGCTATATAAAGGAAATTGTGGCGAATAAACAAGAAGTTTCTGCGGCACCTGGGTTTGTTCATTTCACAGTAACGATCCACAACTTCCGCCGCAGAGCCTGTAAAAACTCGTTATATTTAGAGTGTATGAACGATTGCGTCGTCGAAACGGCCTCATAAATCTTTACAGTTTCGCCAAATAAACCCGGTTTTGTGTTCACAATACGTACACTTTATTTTGCATAATTCGCGTCAGTTTATTAAACACCCGGTCGAACGTACCAACTTTAAATACGGTCCGTTCCGCGGAACCGATCAGTTTTCCCGCGTATCCGTTATTTTTTCAGTCCCCTTCTCTCGTTCACTAACACACTACGGATATTTTAAAACACATTTCCTTACTCAAAACGAAATTGAACGAGAGCATTTATTTCTATAAATATCATTTAACAACTTCCTGTTTTGTTTTTTTTTATTTATTAAAAAAAATAAATGGAAAATTAACACAACTCAGGTACACCCATATGTAATAATATTATGTAATCGTATATAAATTTTGATTCATAAAATTTTAATGATGTTATTTAAAGACTTGAACGAATTATGTTAACGTCTCGCTATTTTTGGGAATTTAAATTACAAATTATCCACAATCAATGTTATTATTGTTGTTTTATTACGACTATAAGAACACTAATGGTTTGTTTGTAATTTTTATTTGGCAAACATAGGGATGTAATAAATTGCACTTAAATTTTGCATTATCTCTGAAGGAATTGCAAGATAATCTTATCAAGTACCGTAATAACATTACTCCTGATTCCATAAATATCTAAAGGAATCACCTAAACAATTAATAAAAATAAATTGAGTTGCGCGATAAAAATTTCTAACGTTCGGCCGTTAAATTTATGTTTATACTTAAGTATAAAGATGGAAGACTGATAGGGCAACAGCCGACGTCGTTCCTATAACCCTTTTGCCCAGGGGCGGTAAATAGACTAAGACAATTTAATTTTTCCTCCCCAACGTTGGTAATCCGTTCGGGACGATAAGAACCCCATTCCGGGGCCCCCTTTATAGTTCATAAGTGTGCGTTATTAATGCAGTGGCAATTCGAAAAGTCGCGCTGTCGTAAATTTTATACGAGCCGAGTCAGCACGGTGGCATTTTAAATTGGGCGACAGTAAAATGGCCAAACGGTCTCAAATCACTCCTTGCCACCGTCGTATCTCATGTTCGAAACGATACCGAAACCGTTTCCGTTACGGTCGTTATAAGATCACTTCGCCATAGCTTCTATACACAATCAAGTTATATTGTTATTTTTATCTACTTTATAAGCTCTTTGTTTACTTTGTTGGCATAACATCAGTTTTGAATCAAACTATTTTTTTTAGAATTATCAAAATAAAGATATCTCTAGTCAAAAAAACGTAAACAGCCATTGTATTTGTTGTCATTATGCTGATATGTGTTTTATACAGACTGGACGTCGTGTGTCTTTTAAAGTTACTTTAAATAATGAGTAGTTTATATATCTTGGGCTTCATCAGATCAAGATATAACTCAAGTATATACTAAAGATCATCTGTTCTACACCGTATAGTTAATTTATTAGTTAACATTAAAGACTTGGCCAATAATCGTTTGAAACCTTCAAAAATATATTTACAACTCAATCCATTTTGCAACACCTAGCAAACACATTTAAAACTAACGCAGGAGAAAAGCAGTTAGAACTGATAATACAAAATCAGGACACTGTGGAAGAGACCTTTACTACTCCAAAGGAGATATCTATTGTAATCAAAGAAAATATCGACCAGAAGAAAGCTCCTGGTTTTGACCTAATTACAGGCGAAATTTTAAAACATTTAATCAGACTCAAGTATGTAGCTACCCTGTGGAAAGTTGCTGAGGTCATAATGATCCCTAAACCGGGGAAACCACCAAAAGAAGTTCCGTCATACAGACCAATATCACTATTACCAGTGACATCAAAATTATTTGAGAAAATACTATTAAAAAGACTAAATCCTATAATCGAGGAAAGAAATTTGAAACCATCACATCAGTTTGGATTTAGAGAGGGACACTCTACCATAGAGCAGATACATAGGATAACTGACGTCATAGAAAAATCGATAGAGGGAAGGAAAGTCTGTTCTTCTGCCTTCTTGGATGTGGCTCAGGCATTTAATAAAGTTTGGCATGAGGAACTCAAATACAAACTTTTGCTCAAACAGTATGCACAACTGCTAGATTCTATATATCAAAACGAGCGTTTAGAATAAAGCAAGAAGATGCTTATTCAGATTTTAAAAAAAATAATGCAGGTGTGCCACAAGGAAGTGTACTTGCACCAGTCCTGTACCTCTTGTACACTAGTGACATCTCTAAATTAGAAAACGATACTATTGCAATAGGCAATAATCATGAAGAAGTAGCAAATAGACTACAGACATCAATTAATAAAATTAATGACTGGACCAAAAATGGAGAATTACCTGAAATAAGAATAAATCGGTACATGTTAATTTTACATACAAAAGGGAGCAATATGTACCAATCAGAGTAGATGATAAATAGATACTATATGTGAACACAGCAAAATATCTTGGATGGAAAACTTTGCTGGAAGGGTCATATCAAAAAGAAACGAGAAGAGCTCAGAATCAGGTATAAGAAAATGTATTGGTTATTGAGGAGCAAATCCACTCTGTCAACATATAATAAATTACTTATGTATAAACAGATCCTAAAACTGATATGGTCATATGGGATTCAACTATAGGAATGTGCCAGCGAAAGCTACACCAACACAAATCATCCAGAGAGATTGTTGATGCACCCTGGTACTATCGAAGTAATGACATACACCGGGACCTGGGAATGGACACTGTCAGCCACAAATTTGCCAAGAGCCATGAACAGCGATGCACAGATTATGCATGTTTAGTGCTGGTGTTTATTTTTATTAGTACAATCTAAAGAACTTCTACTGAACAACACCCCCAAGTTTTAAGATACTTGTAGTAAATTAGGTTGGAATAAAATTGTTCATTGATCGTATTAATGACGAGATCATAATAATAATGAAACCTTAGGGTTCTATAAAAAAATCCATTTTGCAAAACTGAAACTTCAAGGAAATTTTTTGCTAACCACTAATATATTCGATTATGCAATTGGGGCCTTCTTATCGCAGAGGGTAATCAGAGAAAATTTCCACATGCTCAACAAAGCGAAACGTTATTATAGTGCTACTAAAAAGAAAGCACTTGCTATAATTTGGGCAGTTAACCATTTTCGATCATATCTCTACGGTACACAAATTAAACTAATAACCAACCATCACCCAAGAGACAAACCTAATGTCTTCTTCTTCTTCCACTTGCTTTAGACCTGTTGATCTTCTGAACTCAGAATTAGGAGTTGAAGTAAGTCTTGTGATGTAGGCTTTTAGTTGTCCTCCTTTTTTTCGATAACCTTCCTGGTGTTTGAATGCCAGCTGGTTTTCGTTCTAATACTATAACGCGATAATCTGCTTTTATTTATCTTCTTCATATAATTGCACCATTCTCTGCTCCTTTATTTCCCTCCTCTCATGACATCTATATGTCGTAAGGTGCCTATATTTGTCATCCGGTCTCTTCTAGTCTAACCCAGGATAGTTCGCATCTTTTCATTTCGGCAACTCTTAGCATACTCTCAATTTTGCTCCTAACTTCGCGTGTCTGAAAGATTAATTTTATTATGCAAGCAATGTTATGCAGGGTTAGTTTTGATTACAAATGTCAATCAACCCAAGGAAGTATGTTGGGTAAGGTTAGTTTTCTATTGTAATGTCAATTATACTGTGAAGGAATGTTGCGCTTCTTGACTAGTAGATTGACAATACAATTTTTCGAACATGAAGAACCTTAGACTTTAACGCCAAAGAGATTAAATGCTGATTAAAAGCAACATTAAAACATTTATATTTTGGTCGTCACTTTTTGTTACTCACCTTTAATTAGGAGAAATAAATTAAATTGCAACAAATTATGACTTTTTTATTATAGTATAGTTTCATATCTTTAAATGTCGTTTAACCGCAATCATTCAAGAAGGAGTAAAATCGTATTATTTTGTTTAATAGGATAGGTGATAACACTTCGTCGTTAAAGATGTAAAGTCGAAGATGGCAGGGAGCCATCGAAAACTTTTGCAAATCTCACTCACAGCGTGCTTCCCATCTAATATTTTAAAACAACTGCAGAAAATCGTTAAAGTGTAATTTACGGCGACCATAAATGCAAAGGCTGTAATATTTTTAGTGTTACCCCGTATACATATGTGAGAGCCTTCATTGTATAGATACGCCTCAATGGCGGCTCGAACCATAATGGCTTTATAGCGTACCGTTTTGCGTGATTCCTCTCTTCAATATAGCCAACCTCCTGTTTCCTCCACCTCTTCGTCTTCAACATTAAGATGATTGTTCGTTTGGTCGTACGCTCTTAATTAGGGGGTATTGTACCATCCCAGTTTTCTTCGTTCGGTTGTAAATTGTTACACCTTTACGATCGGCACCCACCGTTAAAAAAAATGTTATTGCTGCGGCTTGGTTTTGTCTCCTATATGAAACGTTGCGTACAATTAGAAATTATGTATCGTCTTACTCTTTTGCACACCCATCATTTTAACGTGTAGCTTCCTTTCCTCTTGATCGTTAAACGTTTATGGTTTTCTGCGAGTGGATTGCGAAGCCTCAAACTGTCGAAATGAACGATCCGCCCGTGTATTATGCGCATACGTTCTCCTGACTCTTTGAAATATAACCAGTTACCAGGAAGTCGAAGTGGTTTGGTTTATTACTTTATTAACACTTTCGAAAATTTCAAGACGTATTAACTCTTTATATGTTTTATTTTGTTAAAATTTGTTGAGTTTTCGTGCTTAGAAACAAAAGTAATTTAAGTTATCTAACACACCGACTGAAAAATATTGGATCGTAAACTTTTATTGCAACAAAATATTGCCAAGTTTTTGCACAATTAATTTACGAACAGCGCACGGTAGTAAATAAGTTTAAATAAATCTTAAAACATATTCATAACCCAAGCATACAATTTTTAATGCCCTACTTAACGCGGTGCAAATAGTTTTATTGTTACCTTCGCTAGTTTCCGAGTATTGTATTTATATTTTTAAAAACACTACACTTGAAAGTATTATGTTACTGTTTATTTATGAGAACCGTTTCGAAAATGCGGCCGACACCGTCCATATTGAAATATTTTATTGACTTCGTCGGTTTGTTTGATGTCTACCTCGTTTTCAAAAGCTATATACTACAATCTGCTCAGATTTAACGCATGTTTTAACACACATCAATCGATTTTCGCACAGTTAAGTACTATGTTATGATGGGATATTTAAAAATAAACTCGTTTGATTTAAAAGAGAACTTTTTAAACTAACACCTTTCAAATAATTATATATTCAAGTGAAGTACATTCATTATTTTCTATATATGAAAATATATTTATGAAACCGGAAATCGTTGAAACGTTAAAGTCGCCTTTTCTTTAGTTCTCCCTTCATGACTTTCTATATTTGAACGACATCGTTATGTGTTTTGACGATAGAACGCTTTTATGGATCGTTGTAAATCAAAGTTTCAAAATACGCCACTTCCCGCATGTTTATTCATCAACAATGTTAAGCATTTGTAACGCTTCATTTATACTTTCTTACCTTCATCGATTTGTCTAAAAGCTTTCTCCTGATCGTCCTTAGCGTTCTTTAGGATGACGTGGATAAGTGAGATCATTTTCCAGGATAAGTGAAACCTATCCTTTATTTTATTAAAAAAATCCACCAGTTGTTCAGCATCTCTACCTGTTAACATAAATAAAAAAAAATTAATATAAAAATAAAAGCAATTTAAAACCATCAAGAATGATCACTTATCCCGTTGTTTATTTTAAACTGAAATAAAACGAAACGTTTCTTATTTAAAAAAAGAAAATATTTGTTCATTTTAAAAATCCCATTAATTTGAAATTTATGCTTAAAAAACCTTTTTAATACCAAATAAAAACTGAAATTCCTTTTCGGTAATAAAAGAGTTGTTTTTTAATGTTAAATCTTACATTTTTTTCATATTACATGCAAATTTTTCATCGTTCGAATTTTTCTTAAAAAAAAAAAAATAAAATAATTCAATTTTAAATCCTCATAAATGGACATGGATCATTATCAATAACATAATTGACGTCCGACGTGTTATGGAACACAAAATTAATTCAAGTAAAGAATGTCCAAGACGAATTTCAATTACCATCGGCACACCAGATTGAATACTTTGTAAGCATAATCGCAACGTTTAACTTTTAATGGGTCTTATCTACAATCAAGTCACATTATTCTCATCAATGCTAATTTGAGGCTGTGATGACGATATGTATAAAAAACAACGAAAAAACAAATGTAATAAAATTAAAAAAAAAAATGTGTTGGAGAATGATAGTTTGTACTGACGCAATGGTAATTATTAAGCAAATCATGTTTTCAATTTTTTTTTGTTGGTTTCTTTAAATTAAAATTTCAATAAGCATGGATTAACTCAAATTGTTTTTATGGCTTTCCGAAATTAGCCGAAATTACCAGAACACTTATATTGTAATTATTGAAGTATAACATGTTTAATTTGAATTCACACTTACAACAATAATTGGATAATTGATATTGAAACTGGCCACCATATATCTGGTGACCAGTTAAATAAGACTAGATCTGGTCTTATTACTGTCTCTCTATATGTTAATGTGGTACTAATTCCAACGCATTGGCAAGAACACCTTATATGATCTCGGCTAATCGGGCGAAATCATCCATTAGTTTAGCCAAGGTGCCTTGCTACTGGGGCATTACAATTAATACCCTATCAACCCAAAATTGCTCAACCCATATTGCAAATTTGTCATTTGATTGTGCCTGGGCATTTTTACCCAATCAATAGTGCGTTATCCGATTAGCAGCTGATTTTTAGTTCATGTTTTCCCATCTTATGTTATACCTTAGGCAGCTGTGCTATCATACCGTCCATTAGGATGTTGAAATACAGTGAGCTCAAACTGTAACCCTGCCTCACATCCACGTGAAATTTCCTTTTTTGCTAAGAGTCTTTAACTGTGATCATATTGTTTATATTAAGTTGTCTGATTCTTTTTATTATGTGTGAGTGCACTACCTTACGCCTCAACTCTTTTATAACGCCCGGCGTTATAAACGTAAGTACGCTGGTGTGTTATATTTTATTGCTTTCTTCCCAATTTAGTTTACTACAGACTGCTATAGATTGTTACTCGTTTGTTGTTGTGTGCTTCAGAATGCGATGTTGCAGGAGATGAGAAAATAGCTTCATGGATATGTGCAGGAGGCAAATTCATCGAAATAGTGATACTATTTCTCCAGTTCTTTGGAGTTTGTATATCCTGCAGTATCTTATTATTCAGCTGCATAAATTGTTCTGCTAGTCTTTTTCCTCCACATTTCAACTCATTCAAGATTGTTTCATCTACAGCGTCACTTCCTCCGTTATGAATTGTTCTATTTCCCCAACTTCCTCAGCATTTACTCCCTAGTCTATGTCTTTTGTGTCAAAATTCCTGAATCCTTTTGGCACGATATAACCGATAATTAAAAATGCGTTTAGAACCATATCAATCTTTCAGAGGAAATGCCTCGTCCTCTCCAATTACATATGGAGCTTCATTAGCTGTATTTGGCAAAGCAGCATTTTGTGCTACTGAAGTGTTAAGTTTAGTTGCTTGGATAAGGGAGCTGAGGACTTAGATAATAATATGTTTCCCATTTAATTACAATAGATTTCCTAACGTATTCTTTTGTAGCAGTTTGTAACGTTTCAGTTATTAGGTTGTCAGTTATGATTCAACGTGTATCCATAACTACCAGACATTTTATACTTTAATTGGACACACCATACCTTAGTATGTACTGCGATGAACATGGCACAACCAAAATACTTTATTATTAATTCAAATTTTTTCCAATCCAAATCTTCATATTTTCCTATAAAGATTTTAACAGTAGTGAAATCTAAAAGATTTCAAGATAAAAGACAAAAAAACAGTTTTATTCGCGATCTTTGAATTACTGTAATTAAGTGTGCGAGTAAGAAAAAATCTTTTGAAGTTGTTTGCATGAAAAAGCAGGATTTCTTTTCTACCAAGCACTACACTTTCTACAATGATGGAGTACGTTGTACCATGACCACAGCACAAGACGACCTTGTTTATGAAAAAGGCTGTATAAAAACTTATATCGTATAACTTTTTTTAAAAAAATATAGAAAATTATATCGTATGTTGGTATTGTTTAAATAAAAAAAGAGATACAGCACAATTCTACTACGTGTAGTATTCACCGTAATTATGTACTAGTTTATATTCTGTTTCTTTTTACATTTTGTAGGTAAATAGGAGAACCCACTTTTGTGCTCAGGAAGTCGTCTTAAAATAACATATAACATATTGCTGTACATTTTTGCACTGAACAATGAGGTCAACATATTTCTCGAGTAACTAACAGATATTAAGAATTACTAAGTACAAAGTTAATTTATTGTATTTTTAGTTAGCCTTTATTTTTTGATTATTCAAAACGTTTTCATAGTTATATCTCAATTTTATAACAAGTTAAACGCCACGTGGTTGACGTCGTCCTAATTTGATTTTTTAATATGCACCATCTTCATCACCTTCTATCGAATGACATCAACAACAGTCATATGATTTGCATATTTAGAGCTGATGAGATCCTGATGCTAAACACATACTTATTTGTTTTTATCGTTGATGACATTTAAAAAAATCATGATTATGACCCAAACAAAGAGGGGTCGAGAAAGCAACAAAGATAGCGCATAAATTTACATTTATTTTCAAAATACTTTGCACTTAACAGATGAAATAACTTGTTATCGAACAAATTACAATAATTTTTACATCAATCCTTTAAACAATTATGTGATTAATAGGTAGTTTAATGTATGATTACATGAAATTACTGACAGAAATTACTTAATCATGGTTTAATTTCGAATTTGAGTGCAATAAATATATCTCTCAACAAGGTTCTTTCTATTCTCTTTACATTGTATTAGCTTGAAAATTTTAAAGCAATCGCTTTTAAGAATTTATTTCTTTAGCCGTTATCGTAATTGTCTAGTTAAATTTAGTTGTAGTGTTCATGGTTTTCCTTTTAATGGGTTTTGTTTAAATTTATTTAAGCCTGTGTTAGCTGAAAAAGGAATTGCCTCATAAAACTTAAATAGATTCATTATCCACTTTCACATGTAAATCGTGAATCTAAACTTGAAAAGTTTTAAGTGGAGATTTAGAAAATTTTCTGTTTTGCTTAATTTTCCTATAATTGATAACAATAATTTAAGTATAAATAGGTACGCATTACTGCAATTTAGTTATCCTTGACTTTGACCACAAACTAAAACTCATGCAATTAATCAAACACACAATTTGTAGCACTGTAATAAAATAGTGTTATCATTATTAAAATTATGACTCAATTAAGTTTTATGCGTTCTACTACATTTTAGTTCATCAAATCGATTTTCATTTTTAAATAGAAACATAAGTTGAGAACGCTGTGACGTACTAAATCCCATTGAAATCGTTTGGTAATATTAAGTTTCTTCAATTGTGAATAAATATTTTCTTTTCTTCTAAGAAAACGAAAGAAATCTTTTCTTCAAAAACCTTTCTTACCTTTATTATACGTTTTTGTTGATAATAGGTGCGCAGATAAATTAATGTAATAATGCCGCAAAGAATATGTAATACTTATAAGCAAAATAATTGAGGCTTCTTCGTTAAAAAATACTGATTCATAAAAAATTGGCTTAATATGTAGTCTTAATAATTATATTTTACACTTGAACGTTAGTTTTCTACTTTAAATTTATTGTAATAATACTCTTCGTTAAGGCCGGATCATTCTTTTTGTATTAATAAAGCCAGGTTTGAATCATTAAACGCTAAAAATCTAATTTTAACTATACGGTAAATGATGATATCCTTATTTAACGTGTAAGTTGCGTTTCACCTGAAGATTAACGCCGCCGATTGGTTTGAAGGTCCCGGAAGATCGTCGTTCTTGCGCCCTCTTATCTATGTTGTTGGAAACAAAATGCAGAAAAAAACATGCATTACTACTAAAAAAATTATTATTTATCGAAGAAATAAAGAGAAAGATGAAAAATTGTTATTTTTAGTGTAAAAGTTATTAAAAAATATTTAAAGTTGATTCTTATGGATACTTTTTTATTGTATTGAAATATTTTTAAATCTTTAATCATCCATACTGACGAGTAGGATAACGTAGCTCTCCACCGTCGTACATGTTGAGGTTGTTGATTATTGAGTATTCCTTCACTGCCCTTTGCCCTATGGTAATTTTAAAAACGTTTAATACATTACAATAATATATTAATTAATACAGTAATTATACAATATTATTAAAAAATTACAATACAACAATTCTAAAACATAATTTTATATCCCTAGTTATAATAAATAAAGTAAATCTAAATAATATACATATGTTTAAAGTACTACATATACAGAGTGTTTCAACAGTTTGTTAAAAAAAAGTAATTTTAATATAAAAGATATTGTACAAAAATGAAAAAATAACATTTTTCTATCGTTCTTAATTTTTGATATAATGCAAAATTAAAATATGTCATTGACGTGGATTTATTACATCTTTAATCCTTATGATCGTATTCTTTTCATCTTATTCATGATGGATGATTTAATTTTGTTTTCTCAAACAATGATTTGATTGTGAATAACTCTTTGATTAGATACGATTAGAACGTTTAATTATTTAACGCTATTGAATCAAATCACTTTATAACTCGTCTACCATTAGCTCTGTCCAGAGTTAATTGAATCAAATTAAAATGTGAACTGTAAACAAGCCTGTTGCTAGCCGTCTGGCTTATATAATAAACTATACCGTTTGTATACATAATTAAATGAACATAAATTCAGAATTGGGTTAAATATAGTATACATATATTAGATTGGTAATTGTTAACGATGGGTAAAAATGGTTAATAAACTTGTTTATGTTTTAATTACACATGTTTTATGTATAATAAATTTATTAATTGTTTTAAGGATTTATGCTATAATCACTTTTGATAAATTCATCATTAGAGTTTTTAATAGAATTAAGGGAAGAAACTATTTAGCTTTCTTACACAGGAAAAAATCGTGTCGTGTAAAAATTTTAGAGTAGTTGGTAAAAAGAATTAGAGTAAAAATTGTAATATCACATGGTAAAAATAACTCTAATGTACACTATATTTAATATTAATATAGAGTTCATATATTATTCACTTAATAGAGTAGTTTTTACAGTTCTCTAAAGGAGAGTTCTTTTTTACTTATGTTAGTGAAGTTATGTAATATATAAAACATTAAATTTTACACTAGACGTGTACTTTTCCTTCGGGTACTTCGTAGGCACCGCACTATTTTGCTCGGGATTACTCGTCGGTACCACGTGATCAACATGTGGTGTGATACAGCTAAAATTTAACGGTCATCTACTAAACGAGTCGGAACTCGATAGCGTCTCGAGACCTGATTTACGCGATATAGAAAGAAAGAACGATTATTTTTATTTTAATTATGTTTGCCAAAATAAAACATTCATGATGTGAAATTAGTGGAACTTCCGGAAGATTTTACATACAAGTTCCTTGTGAAGATTTGTAAAAATGTGCAACTTGGTGCAACTATACATATAGGAAACTTATAGAAGACTCATTAGATGCAGTTTTGATNAAGGTTCTTCTATACAGCAAAGTTTAAAGAGATGTTATTAAGTTAGCGTTAAGGAAATCGAAAAGCTGGTACAATTTTTGCTGATAACGAGAGTAACGTTGCAGCTGTTGCGGAAAGACCAGGTAGCTATTGGAGACTGTGAGGCATCGTGCAAAAAATTTACCGGGCCAAAGAAGAGACGATTTCATGAAATTGACAAGGCAGTTTTCTAGTTCTCTCAAGAAAAACGAAAGGAGGGACTAAAAAATTTTTAATACTAGCAAAGGTTGGACTGTGGGATTTATGCGCCGAATGATGTTATCGTTGAGGCGCAGAACTACAACTTCCCAAAAGCTCCTAATGATTTTCATATCTGGATATGCCACCCAATTACACACTGGAAAGAAGAGGTGTGTGGGAAATTTCTTTATAAACGAGTGGTTGCGAAAAATTGCGCATACCATTGATGCTAGCAGTAACAAGTGATAGGGAAAAATTGCTGTCATTAGTAATATTGAGAAAAAAACCATTCTGAAATCTGAAAGACTTCCCGAATGACGTCCTAGTTAGGGCATAACAAAAAGGATGGATAATGGAAAAGGTGATGATGGAATGATTAAGACAAGTATGGAGTCTTAGACCAGGAGGATTATTAAATAAGGATATTAATTAATCATAGACTGATTGCCCTTGGTTTAGACTTCTTGTCATAATAATAATACCTGGTGGAATAACATCCATACTACAACCTGTGTATGTATATGTATATTAACAAACTCGAGAATTAACAAAACCGGGAGCAATTAAAGGAGGGAAAACGATCCCTGAAAACAATATTATAACATCATTTAAGAAGTTTTGTATAATCCGAAGATGACGTAGTATGGGAAGAAAATGACACATAAAAATGTAAATATCGTTCTAAAACCCTTAATAAGTCTTATTGTTATAATGTGATTTTATTTTACTATTTTCCAAATTACAACTATACGACTGCGAATCTAATCCGCACCCGATTGTAATCCGCATTTGATTTTAGAGCACATAAAATTTGTAAAAAAGGTGCGGATTGCATTCGAGAAAATACGGTATATAGTTTATGAGGAAACAAAGTAATTATTTCTGAGCATTTGAAATTAAATTTCATTACTTTGATAGGGATATAATTAATTTAATCTAATAATGGTTAACTAATATAATACCTATTATAATGATCTCTTGTCACAATAGTCAGCAAGTTTGAACATGAAAATATCTTACAAAGATATTTTAATTTCTTGCCATCAGCTAGGTGTGTTAATCATTGGCAAATTTAATACTTTTGCAGGATCATTGATCCAAAAAGAAAATTTTAGATTTTCTTGGATCTTCCAAATCTCAAAAAAAAAATCAAACATCTGGGTTATTCCGTCAATTAAATTGTTTGAGGATTCGGAAACCATGTTTATGAAAAATGTACCAACATTGATTTCTTGTAACATCTTTTGATCTTGACCATAATAGTTACAGTAGCCGAAACTAGTTAAACAGTTAATGTATAAAAAGACTTTTTGAGAATTATTACCCTTATTTACGAAAACACGATTACTATTTCAGTTTTAAGTCACTCTACTGTTTTGGTCTATTTTCATTTAATGTTAGTACGAAACCTTATTTAGTTGTGCATTAATCCCACCCTACAATTTGTGATCGTATTTTCTTTGGCGATGGTCTCTAGTTTTTATAATTGCGTGTCTCCACATTTCAACCTACCGCGGTTACTAAATCCCGTTAATGTAATGAAAGAGCGCCATTTACAATAAAGTGGATAAGAGTTATTTAACAAAATGCGAACTCTTTCATTAATCTTTAAAGAAAATCTAATTTAAACGTTTATTTCAGAAAGTGACTAAGTAACAATTTTGAAATAAAGTGTATGATACTGTTTTCCGTAGAAAGGAAACATGGTATAACCCAATAACATTTATCGTGGACAGACTGTTTCACTTGTGTACAAAGGTATTAAGTATCGTTGGATTATTTGCCCCGTTTTGCTTTCAGAAGCGGAATAGTTTTCCCCGATAAAAGACTTTTTTCTTCGAAGCAATTACGATTTTGAATGATTATAAGATGTACAAGAAGCACGAAAAATATACTCTCTCTATACTCATTCAAAAATTATTTCTTCAAGTACTACTTTAAGTACTCATGACACACATATACTAGTTAATGAAAAGACTACTCGATTTTAAGAAAACATTGCAGCTTGAAATCATGAAACTTGAAACATGAAAATTTTAAATATCTAATGAAGACTAAATAATAGAATAATTTGTTTTTTAATTTTAATGACATTTATCTTGAGAATGAAGAAAATCTTATTTTTCATTTTTAACATAAATCCTTATTCCCAATTTCCTTTGAAACACTCTGTATTTTATGCTAAACTAAAATATATAAAAATTAATAATCTCACCTTCATCTATACGTTTTGACGCTTCTTCGAGATCTGGAGTGTCTTTGACTATCGCATAAATCAATGGCATCATTTCCCACGAATATCGGAACTTTTCTAATAGTTGTAAGCTTTCTTGAATTAAATCTTTTTGGCCAATATCTAAAACAAAGAAACAAGAAAAAAATATATTCATTGTATTAGAAATTAGCATCAAAGCAATATTAAAACAGTATTAATTTAAATATATCGAACCAAGTTTTCGAAACAATGGTATTTGAATAAGTCTAAATGAAACATTAAAAATTCAAGTAGAAAATCGATCTTCATTCTTGAATACGAAACGAGGAGACGTGTCCGATAATTAACCACCGCCAACTTTTTTATCGATTATCCTTCCACGGGCAATTATTCAAATAAGGTTTAACATAAGAAGCGAACGAGGAGTGCGTGATCGGCTTGAAATTTATCTTTCAGTTATCCTTCTCACACGTCACGTTTACCCGTTTCTTTCGTATATTGTTTCCTTTCTTTCCTACTTATTTCTCAACACACATACAAACATAGAATTGACGGTGCTATTGGCGGTAGTAGAAGTGGAGGAAGGAGCGTAAAAGAGGTCGAAACCGTGCCATGGTACTGCCTCTTTGTAGACAATCGGGGGGACCCCCCGGAACGGAGGCCGGGCTCGACTTTGCATGCACTACGTAGTTTCACATGATATATTAGATAATTCTTCTTCGCCACCAGTTTCTAGCCGGTCCGTCGGGCCAATAGCGGAGGCCGTACAGTTCTCGGACTCCTCCCGTTCAACGGTACCGTTTAAACATCATTGGTTTAGGTTCCTCTGATTGCCATTTCCAACTCTTGTCCTAGTTTAGAACAGCTTTTCAGTATTCGTTTCACGAACAATTGCGTGTTTAACTCTTTTTATTCTTACCATTTCAGTCGAATTAAAATCCTATTTAATTAAAGTTTTGCATACTTCTAGAATACTCTTCATTGTTAAATCAAATATACTCCAACATTTATTATTTTAATCTTTATTAAAAAATAACTTCTAAGTTTTTGGTCCACAACTTTTTGTATGCGAAAATATAAATTACTTTGAATTAAATCATGGTACAACTTTTTATATGCTCAACACCGGTTTCAAGTACATTTAGTATTCATCATCTCAATCTACATACATTTAATTAAACATCCATAAAGAAATATAAAAGATAAAAACAAACTTATAATTTATTATAAAAATATTTAAATCGTTTATGAAATTTGTACTTGTAGTGTTCAAATTATGACGAGAATTTATAAATATGGGGTTATACATATTATGTTTTCAGCACTTTTAGTATAATTGGGATCTCTTTTTAGATAGTTTTTATGAATTTGTTCTTCTTCTGTTGTATTCATCTTATCTGGATGGACACTTAAATGCACAGTGCATTCAGTTCCTCAATTCAGTTGAGTTATTGCAGACTTGAACTATGACTTCACTCTCTTCGAAGTGCTTAATTTTCTACTGATTACCTACGAAATTGATCTTGGAAATTTCTTCCTTTGCCAATGTTGCCATGGTATTTGCCAATCATGTGTTAGCTTATTTACAAAGGTTGGAATAAAATTGATGAGATATAAAAGGTCTTATAAGTTAACATATTTATACAAGCGATCATCACGATTTAATCAGATCCTGCAATATAAAATTTGAACAAGAAACACTGTATCCAACAGAGACAAGAGAAGAAATTGACTAAGAAGTCATCAAACGTGATACTGATGTTTGAAACTATGAGCAAATTTAATATTCTACTCATAAATAATTCCGCTACTGACTAAATGTTACACCACAGAATAACCAGAAACGACAGCAGCACACGAGTCTCGATAATTCGCCAGTCCTCGAAAATGCAAACAGTGTAAATATCGCAGGAAAATGGTTGTTTCAGGTAAATAGCTTTTTCCAAAGCTTTATAGGTTTATTAGTTTTATTCCATTTATTTCAGTCTAAATTCTACTTTCCTAGGCAAATAGCATATGACTAAAATATTTTCTGGCAAATAGCTCTTTAAACTAACCCAACCCAACCCAATGCTTTATTTCTTTAAGAGGCCTGCACTTCACAGTCACTGTTTTCTGGGCAAGGGATGTCAAAATGCCAATGCCAACCTTCGAAATTTCAGTACAGTACAAAAAGGTGTACTTGTTTCAAAAATAAGATGATGTGCAATAGTAGATGCCAGTCCAGCAACAATTGTCAAAACAAGTAAATTTTTGTATTTAATATTTAAGAGCTCAAGAAATAAATCGTTTATTTGTATCTTTATTAAACTTAATAAAAGTATATGAAACTGTTATGCATTTTTTGAAAATGATACGCAAATAATTTTACTCGTTTGACACTCATTAGTGACTTTAATTTAAGAAAAGTAGGTTGATAACGATAGGAACTACTTTATTTTATTGAATTTTATAGAACAGGTACCTACTCTATATTGCATTGTTGTATCGATAAAATGGTATTTGCCTAAAACAAGCTTAGACAGATGCTATTTGTGTTGTCCAATATTATTTGCCTAGACATTTAATGATAAATCTGTAATTACGGTTTGCCTAGGCAGCCAGTATCTGACCAGGAAAAAGCTATCTACCTGAAAGAACCATTTGCCTGCGGCATAAACAGGAAATGCTTCGCAAAACGTAGATAAGCTAAAAAACTCCAGTTCTTAACCAAAACTTCGGTAATAAAAATTTGGCAATAAGCAAAAAAGTAGATGAAAATGAATGATGAATGAATGTATGAATGAGCGAGTGAGTGAATGAGCCTGTAAAGAAAATGCACTTGAAAACCATTCTTCCCCAAAATTGAGCCTCCCAAAAATAAGAATTAAACCATATTTACCTTCCGATAACAATTATCTCCATCAAAGAACGCCACGCGCCCCGAAAAATCTGGAAACATCCGATACGAGGAAACTGTTCAACCAGGTTCCTCCAAAAATTAGGGCGAAAGATACAGATCTGGCAGAGTCTCCCCTAAATTACAAAGTGAAACTTCTAAACTATCCCAACCCACCCAGATGCGTACAACCTTGAAAACTCAATTAAATACGTATATCCAAGACTACGACTTGATTACAAAAAAGGAAGAGCAAGCGCGAACATTACACAAGAGCGGAATACCCCACCCCTGGCAAAAATATTCGACTTTAAAGGAATCGATAAAATTAATAAATAACAATAAGGGGTAATAGATGACGCTAACATACTTAAAAGGAAAAATAAACTGTTTCAATGTGTATTCGGACAAAACCACCTTATTATTTTTCCTCGCTATTGTTATCAACGAGGATACCGATTTTAGATGAAGGAAAGATTAGGTTTTCTAGTGGTGTACAGTGTGTTAATTAATTATTATCGTACCCAACATTATCATTGCAAGTATGCAACCAATATCACACTGAATATATCTGAATACGCAAATCGCGTATTGCAATACCAGTACTGTGATATTGGTTGCATACTTGCAATGATGACGTCGGGTACGATAATTAATTAACACACTGTATTTAATATTTCACTATCGCCAAAGATAACGAAGATATCGTCCAATAAAGTAAGTTACACGAGCCTAGCTTTGATCTCTTTCAGTAATTTTGTATATTCTCTGTACCAATAACACTAATACACCTCAACTATAATAATAAAGTACAATTTCGAAATATTGCAGTATCTATTTATTAATTTTAATCTATGTATATATAAAATTTTAATCTGCCGGTGGCGACCGATAGACGGAAACTCGGGATTAAGTCACTATTATCGGTGAAACGGCGACCGACAGGGGGACGCGGTCTCGAACGAGTTTCTTCATGCCCTTGGATTGAAAGTGTTATAAGTGTGATATATATCCAACTTGAAACTTTTACGCTATAGAGTTACAGATTTTAAACTGTATTGACTCATATCCGCAGTTCTTAACTTATTTAAAATAAAAATTTATTTCAATTAAGTTTTTGGACCGTCTTCGGTCTTTCACCTGAAATGCGTGTCTATGATTGTAACTTTCGCTCGTGTTAGAAATATAAAACAAAAGGCGCGAAATCATTGAGGAAAGTATTAGTTACTTTTAAGTGCATAAAAAGATTTGAGCCGCTTATTGGGAACTACAGCACGGTTTCCCCTGCCTGAAGTTGACATGAGGATAATGAGTTCTTGGTTGTGGAAATAATAGCTATAAATGACGGTTTTTACAAACTTGAATTCACGAACGATATACAGAATGAGTCATTAATATCCTAAATACTAAATCGTTAGAGAAAAAAGAAATGTTTCATACAAAAGTTGTTTGACTCACCACTTTTTATAAAGTAAAATTATTTTAATTTATATAGGGTGTTGCATTTACAAAATTTTTCATACTTTCCGTCACGCCTAAATGCATTACCCTGTATAAACGAAAATAATTTTACGTTGTAGTGGTGAGTCAGCCAAGGTGATCATCGACTCCAGTTGGCAGACACGTTGTAATCTGCACTGATAGTAAACAGGCTATGCTAGCTATTAGTAGGCATCGAACTACATCATCGTTAGTGCAAGACCTGTCGGCAATCACTTATCGGAAACAAGTGACACGATCATGCGGATAGGTTGGCGAAACGGGCATCAAAGCGCATCAAAGCTGATCAACTCCATCTCCCAACGAGGTATTTGCGATAGATAGGATGAGACTGCAGTAAGTGTCTTTGCAAAGAAAACTCTGCTCTACCTTGATGGGAAGAGATCTACTCAGTTCCTGGGAAAATCAAAAAGTGACTTGAGGTTCCTCACCAACTTCCTGACCAGACACTGCAGGTTACCTAAGCACATGTTCTACATGAAGTTGGTGAATACATCCCTCTGTAGAGAGTGTGAAATGGAAGACGAGACGGTAAGTCATATTGTTTGTGACTGTTCCAACCTCGCGTACTTTAGGGAATCCACTTTTGGTGTACCTTGTGTTTGTATATTAACATTCATTAAAACCTTCGGCTGGTTTTGTAACCCTTGAATGAACTGAAAATTATGGGGACGTACAAAGGGCCCGCTGCGCGCTGGGGCATAAGTGCTGTGAAGGAATTCACCCCCACGTGAAGTTACATACATACATAGTGGTGAGTTAG